GGATGAATTGATAACTATTTCGCGGCTATTAATGGAAGATTTGGATTAAATGTGATAGGAATATATTTGATGTTACTGCTTGTGATGATCTCAGTAGTCAATGTATTTCCTGTTTAGTAAAAGCAAAGAATGTGGGTCTGCATTGTTATAGAATAGCGGTGTATGCAAAAATAGTTTGGAGGAAAGAGGTTAATTATGAGGACAAATTTAACAATTTGGAGGTCAGGTTTCTATTCCATAGACTGTTTATGAGATTTTAATAATATTCTTCATGCAGAGGATAGATGTGGGGTTCATGGGGTGACTGAGCATGAGATGAGATTAGAGGCTCATAGAATTGCATTGATGTGTGTCAACTTGCCCACCTGAAAACTATTGAGTGCTGGTTTGCATGGTCCAATGAGCAAAATGTGGGGTACATGATATGGAGCAAGATTGATAGAGTCTATCAACTATATTAATGAAGAATAGAGTCTCAAATACATGAGATTATTAAGTTCCTTCAAACAAGTCTTTCGGGCCATTCACCTGGTCTCATGGAAGCAAATGCTTAATTTGAGGGATCAATGCCTTTGCAGTTATGGAGACCTGAAGATGTGGTTGTTCATAAACCGTAAAGTAGGGTCAGGCATGACAACTCAAGATGTCTTTGACATATAATGATATCTATGCCATATCTCCTTTGGTACTAATTTGTGTTGGAGAGACCATATATACCCAAGCATTCATGTATTCTTTAGTTGGCAATTCATAAAAGACTTCTAACCATGGATAGACTTTTTCCAAATGGGCATTGTTGAAAGCAATGTTTGTGCTTTGTGTCCCCTCACATAATTTTTTTTAGCGTTCATATTCAGCTGTTATTTAGAATTCTGGTATAGAGTGGTTGGGGTTGTGTAGGAGGTGTGACTAGTCCCATATATGTAGACAGTATGCAAATTTGAAGGGATATGCATCTGCTAAAGTTCTGAAAAGAGCTATGTTTGCAACAGACACGTATGACTTATGGCTGGAGACAAAAGTAAGAATTCATTTAAATATTATCAGGGATCCTGCTGTATTTGTTAAAAAAAAGTTAAGATTTTAATTCTAGTGAGTGTATTTCATGCTAAATTTCTTGAAGAATGTAAAGATTGCGTTGGAAAATTCTGACTTGGAGTTTTTGTTGTAAACCCCAAGTATGCCTGAGCTTTGTTTGTTAATTTAATATTTACATGGTAAATGGAAAAAACTTATTTTCAATTGAACAAAAAAAAAAGAAAATTTCTTTTACGATAGTGATATTGCAAACTACACAATATTAAAATATATACTAAATGATGGTGAAACACTTGCAATCATATTGCTGAGAAAACATGAATCCTCTCTGTGTCTTTACAAGAATGAAATAAGATGAGTTTGAGAAGACAATAACTAAGCATTAATCCTAGCATGATTCATGGTTTTTCTAAAACACAAGGAGATAAGCCCCATAACTTTAGTATATAAATAAATGATGCACAACAGAAAGATTTTTTTGCATATAAAGCAAATGTTTTACCTCCATTTATTTTTAAATTCACCCTTTTTTCTTATGTAACCCAAAGTCACATCCCATTTATATTTAAACCCGCCAACTTTCAAAATCACTCGTAGACCGAAAGTACTTCACCTAACGTTTTACTCTGTTTTTTTAACCTACCAACTTTCAAAAGGTTTTTCCTCTATAAACTCAAAGTTATGAACCCCATTTATTTTTGAACCCACTCACTTCCTAAGTCTCACGCCTAGACCCAAAATAGTTGCTAAATTATTTTTAAATCCAATTTGCATTCTAACAGTTTATTACATACTGTGAGTTGCAATTTTTTATTACAACTTGCTAACTAAGTGCTTATATATACAATGCATTTTTAAAGTAAATATTTAAAACTTCTTTTCTCTAATTTCTTTTTCCACACTAATACCGTGACATCACTGACATCACAAATTGTAGATGGTTTTTTTGCTAATAAGTGTGAAATGTAGATGGTTTTTTTGCTAATAAGTGTGAAAATTTAACACCATTTATTTTAAACTCATACTTCCAGGGAGGGTTTTTTGCCTATAAACCTAAAGTTTTACCTCCACTTATTTTTGAAAACCCACTCCCACCCTTAGTCCCAAAATACTCATTCGAATTAATTTTAAACTCACTTCGTATTTCAACACTTCAGCATGCGGAGTGGGTTACTACATAGTACTGTAACATTTTATACTTTTTCTAAGTTGTTATGTATGCGGTATTGCGATTTATACTTGAACCAAATGTTTAAATCATTTATTTGGCTTTTTTCTCACACTAATCTCGTGGCGTCGTACATGGGTTCTTAGCCTATAAACCTAAAGTTTTATGGTTATATAATTTTATAATCGTTCACCTCTAAAAATGATTTTTTTGTCTATAAACCCAAAGTTTCACACTCATTTACTTTTAAACTCATCCACTTCCAACATCATTCATGTACACAAAATTCTCAATCAGCTTATTGTGAACTCACTTTATATTTCAACGACATATAATATATAGTGTAAATCGCTATATTTTGTTATTACTTGCTATAGTTTTTTTCAAAGTGATTAGGTATACAACTTATTTTAGACTCACTTTATATTTCAACAACATATGCTATATGGTGTAAATTGTTATATTTTGTTATTAGTTGCTATAGTTTTTTTTCAAAGTGATTAGATATACAGTACATTTTTAAATGAAATGATTAAACATTTTTTTTCATGCAAATGTCACGTCATCGCGCTGGTCAATTTTGCTTGTTTTCTTCTATATTCAACTATTTATTAAACAATTGACTATTCATTTGAATATTTCAGATTGTTTATACCGTTTTTTTGTATTTGTAGAAACTAATGATATCAATGTCTCCAAATTGGTCTCATTGGGACTAAATCTGAGCCTCATGTCTTATACAATTCGTCATGCAAATGTAAAGCACAATGAACACCCTACACTGTAGGCAATGGCAGAGGGATGGGGGGCTGAGAGTGCCATGACCCACCTAAAGTTTTGCCATGGCAGAGGGATGGAGGGGGGCTGAGGGTGCCATGGCCCTCCTAGATTTTTGCAAAACTTAATGCTTATATGCATAATATGTAGGACTTGGACTAGGTAGTGGGCTGTTATTGAAAGAAAAAAAGACAAAAGCTTTGGGTGTAGGCCTGACTTAGTTTTGGGCTGTTGTCAAATAAGAAAAAGAAGACAGTTATGGTTGTGAGCCTATCACCTGCAGCCTAGTAGGCTAGTAAAGAATGCAAACGAGTCAAGTTGTGCCTAAACCTAATTTTTGTAGTAAGTACACTATCCAAATCTGAAAATAATCTAATTACTCTAACCCATATATTTCACACATTTCACCAATTTGTAGAGGATAGCAACTCATTCCCAATTTTGAATTGCGGCTAGCATTGAACCATCTTTTCTCCAAATTTGCTTCTTTTCAAATTCAAATCCCTCCAACTCCTCATGTAGTTCTTTTAGTTCTCTGAGGCTCCAAGCACCCCGTTGTGTGAATTGCCGTTGCTTATTGATTTTCGGTTTTCCTTTGACAGCATGAAACCCTAATTATTTTTGTTAATTTAGAGTATTTTTCTTATTAATGTAAATTTTCAATGGATTGGTGCTTGTGACATTGATTTGTTATCTAATTAGGAAGCAATGCTAGGGATTTTACTCTCAATTGATCGATGCAAACATGTCATCAAAAACCCTGATTATTCTTGACTTAGACTATCTTTCTTCTTAGTTCAACCCAAATTCCGAACACTAGTTAATTATTATTGTAAGTATTGTGATTGATATGATTTGTTATCTAATTAGGGATTTTTATATTAAATACTAATTTTCCCCTATGAAATTAATTTGACCCTACATTCTAACTTCTAAGAGTTTAGGTTGTTAAATATTGCAACTTTACATTGAAATCCAGATCCTATTTCATTAGTTTAATGGAAACCTCCATTCTAGTTTATAGAAAACTGACAAATAAAAGCTACACATTGTGTACAAGCTCTAATTACTTTTAACTTTTTATTTCAACTGAAAAGTGCATCATAAGTTTTGCTGAGATCAAGGCACATAAATATTTTAAACAACTTCTATTCCAGTTTCTTCTTTTACCTTACTTACATGTATGAAACGTTATTATATATTGTAGTCTTTGGCTACTTTTTCATTTACAATTTTACATACTATGATAGTTTTATATTGCCCACCCACCACCCCACCAATCCCCGCGCCAAAAAAAATTACTAGCTTTGCCATTGCTGAAGGTAATAATAATACCTATAAAACAATGTCAGCCTAATTCAACACACGATCTGACACATGTACTTATTTCTTGAGTAGTTTGAGTAGATTTAATACACCACAACGAGCAACAAAGAGCCTTACACAAATATTTGGGGTTTTACTTATTTTCAACACACGATCTATTATTGAATTACCTTTTGTTTCAAAGTGGATTAATCTTGACAGGATTGAACTACTTTGATGCCTTTGGCCATTTATTTCCTTCAAATGTATAATTAACTTTCAATATAGCCAAGAAACTAAGTATATTTAATACACCACAATGACCAACAAAAAGCCTTACACAAATATTCGGGGTTTTACTCATTTTCTCAACACATGATCTATTGTTGAATTACTTTTTGTTTCAAAGTGGATTAATCTTGACAAGATTGAACTACTTTGATGCCTTTGGTCATTTATTTCCTTCAAATGTATCATTGACTTCCAATATAGCCAAGAAACTGGGAGCCTCTAACTTAATGCGTAAGTATCTGATGCTAGCATGTTTACTTTTCCCCTCAAATTAATAGACAGTATTTTCATTGTTACTGATCAGCACAAAGTATGTGGCTTTCATGAAAACTTTAATTTATTTCATATCTAAATGCTGTTATATGTTTCATATAAGCTGATTAACTGGAGGAAATGAATATGCACATAGACTTACAGATACAATGGAAACAAACCAAGATCTCGGTCGAGCTTTTCACGGTGAAGACAGGCTCACTGCATTGCCTGATGTGCTCCGTGTTCAAATCTTGAGCTTGCTTCCTTGTCGCTATGCTGTCAGAACTGGGGTTCTGTCCAAAAACTGGAAAATTTTATGGAAGCAAAGATTCAACCACACAACAACACTGAAATTTGGACGTAAATACCAGAACCCTGCAAATCAACAAGAACTAGTGAATGAGATCCAAAACTACATGTTAGCACATGAAAACAGAAAGATTGAGACCTTTCACCTCTATTTCCATCCCGATACCTTGAATCCAGAGACAGTTTGCAATTGGATTGAACGAGCCATTGAAAATGGTGTTGAGGAATTATATCTAGACTTCTCCCAGGGGATTGTAAGCTTGAAACCAACAGGCAAACTTAGAACTGGGAGAAAGAAGTTTAAGCTCCCCGAAAGTGTGTTTCAATTCAATAGATCTCTAACCAGTCTGAGCTTAAGTTTTTGCACACTGACAGGTAGGTATCAGTTTGGATACTTTGATTGCCTTGAGCACTTACAACTCCAAGGAATCAATTTAAATGATACCATGTTGGTGAAGGTGCTCTACAACTGCCCAAAACTACAGTCTTTGGAGTTGAGAGAATGCATGTCATTGAAATATGTAGAGGACATAGGTTCTTATTCTCAAATCAAGAAGCTCACAATTGTGCACTGTCCCAATATAGAAGTGATTGATATCCTTGCTCCTCTGCTTCATTCATTCCATTTCTTAGGGAAATTCCCTAGAAAGTTCACTCTGGCTGTTCCTTTCCTATCGGATTGCATCATAATGTCAACTCTAAGGGAGTACGAGCAGATAACAAACAATTGGGAAGTTACACTTTTAAAACATGACAGTTTACAGGTGCTGACAACCTGCAGCTCAAGCCTTCAGGTACGAATAAACTTAGTTGAAAATATGCACTGAAAAGAAAATGATCACAAATGTTACCTGACTTTTGGTTGCTCTAGCTCATACTTGGATCTGGAAAGATAGTGGGGGCAAGCTTGAAGAATCTTCAGGAGCTGCAGCTGTGCATGGAGAATTTGAGAAGTAGTGATCTGTTGAATATATACAAACTCTTTATGAGGTACAAGCTTCAACAGCTAGAGACTCTATTCATAGAGGTATGAATACCAGCATGGGGCTTGTTAATTATCTACTTTAACTTAAAATTGCATCAATTTTACATGCTGATACTTTCAAAAGTTAGGCAAGGAATTATCATGTCGTTATATAACCAGGCAAAATGACCTATTGGGATTCGAACCTTGATAAACTATTTGTTAACTATTCACAAGTGTTCAAAAAATTTGTAAACATTTGATCAATAAACATTCATGTAGTTGGAACTGTTAATGGTCTAGACAATCATCATTATTGCCTTTGGTAAATACATCACTATTGCCACTTTCATGCGACCTTTTCTTGTTCATTAGAATATGAACAATTCCCATTTCCCTTCCAGATAAGCATTTTATCTTGGAACTGCCTCACAAAGTTCTTTATGACTTTTGTGAATCTTCCGCAGCCACAGAATTTTAAACCAGTATTCCGAACAAATAATTTTAAAATAGTAAATTTTTTAATCCACATCCTAAAGTCCTTCACCTTCAAGTACTAAGATCATTTTTATCAATTCTGTTGTACTAAGATCTTTCTGATGAACTTGTAGCTTCCGACATCCTGGTCAGATCCTGATCTGGAGCTCGATATGGTACAAAAGAACCCTCCAGTGCTAAATTTGCGCAATCTGAAGATTATAAAGCTCAACAATTTCAAAGGGCACATAAATGAGCTTTTTCTGTTAGATTTTCTATTGCAGAATGCCGTCAGCCTCGAGCTTATCGTATTGGCATTTGCTCATGAATATGATAGGGCTGGCGGTAATTCCGTTAGACTGTTTAACCAGCTCAGTCAGAACCCAAGGGCATCACCAACTGCTAGGATGAAGCTAACGTACACTTCATTGGATGAGAATAATACACTGAAACCAGCACATTCAAAGGTCATCCAAGGATTTTATACTCGTGAGTCAAGAATGTTTAATGTGTGAAACTGCTTTTGCAGCTTTTCCAATTTTCTGTAGCATCGTTCTTTAAAGATATTTATGTTCTTGGTTTCTGTTGTTATAAAGTTTGCATGTTATCGCTATGCTGTGGTGAGAACTCTTTTGAGAGGTAATGGGTACATCTGTTATCCTTGGTTATATTGTTTCTGACTTCTTATATTCTATTATGCTGATTGTTGTTAATAGCAAAGGTCATGTCTTTTGTTATAACAGGAAAGTCGGAGAAAGACATTAGCAGTGTTCTTTCCAGTAAAACAATTGGACAAAACTTATATTACACCAGTATATAGTGGAGAAGGTTTCATACTGTTTTACTTACAGTATTGTTCAACAATTCATAGATGAAGTTTTTAATTGTTGTGTTTACAATTGTTAAATCATGACATGCAGAACTTGGCCTTTATCCTTTATATCTTGAAATGCATTTTGGAACGGACTAATGTGAAAAACCTATGGGGTTTCATCAAACATCTGATGCTGAATCAGTTAAAGAGCATTGGCACTGAAGATAAATGATCATATTATTTGGAGGGATAAAGTTGAATTTTCTTGGCACAAGAACTTAAAGGTATATTGAATGATCCCTAATAAAAAAATGCATAGGTGTAGGTTGTGTAGCTTGAAGAGATTCAGAAAGAAGATGAGCTTCATATGGACGACCTGCAAAATTTTCAGCGACTCAGCAGGTTTTTTTTTTGTATTTGAAAATGGAATGGGTAGCTTGTGTTTTCTCAGATTCAAAGCCAGTCAGCAAGCATTTTCTAATACAAAAGTGAAAAAAATACCAGGGAGAAACTTCACTTGTCATTTATCAGCATCAGGCAGAACTTATCCTAGGTATAACTGCCAGGGAGTATCGGTCATTTTACATAAAATTATGCTTCTATATTAAGAAAATAATCACAAATTTGTAGTCGTGATAATTAGTTATGATTGTATATTGAAACAGAAACCACAATCTGCATCTGGGCAGCTTGCCATTCATATGCAGTTCATTTAGTTTAGAAGCCACGAGATATTGAGAAATCAGCTTATGCTAAGATAGTTCGTCATGAATCAAGAATGGAAATTTCTGAGACCAACTACAAACAGGTCAGGTATTTTCATAGCAACACCCCTTTTCATTTGATCTTTCTACCTCTTGCCACCTCCCTTTGTCCTTCGACCACCTTGTAAGACTCCCTCTAACCTGCCTAGAAAACTAAACTTAACTCTTCCACCATGATCCCTCTTTCTCTCATTACACAAACCCTAGCATACTATGCCCTTATCTCCTTGAGTCTAGCTCACTGAAATTATTTCTCACTCTTTAATATCCCAAAACATGTAAATGTAATCTTTGACAGTAACAGAAATGGACATCACTTCCCTCTTATCCGGTTATCCCTGTAAGTTATTCTTTCAACTAAACGAGATACTCACCTAGAAATTTCTTCCATGATACAAAATTTACGTTCTTCAACACAACAATTAGAATTATTCCTTATACCATAAAAAGAAAGCAACTTATCTTGAAGCCTCTCAAGTGTATAGACCATCACTTTTGCTTCTGATTGGAAGTTAATAGGTTTACCATGATTAATAGAAATTAAAAATCAGATACAACTGGGAATTCATAAAAAGCTGCCTTCATCACTTAATTCTGCAACAGTAGGAAAATAGAATAACACAATATAAATAAAGATCTAAACAAATTGAAAACTGACAAAATATACAAGAAATCTCTGAGAAAATTTTACCGTCTCAATCACGAGAAAAAAAAATCAGAGAAGACCCTAGAGATTTTTTTGGTTCCCAACCAGTATAGGTGGAGCATCGACGCATATGGACCATCCAGATCAAATCTAGGCAATGAATGTCGTAATCCTATTATTGTGAGCATGGTGTCATTAGAACTTGCAGTTTCTCTTCATGCAAGTAATTTGGAAAGATTAAGTTGCGTTATTCGAATATATGCTGATATATCTTTAAGGAGATCAGTAGCTTAAAGATTTGAGGTAAGTAATTACTATAATTTGGAAAGTTGATAAAATTAGAAGGCAACTGCCTTAATAAGATTTATATTTTTAGTGGAGCTTTTTAACCTCTGAAGGGGTAGAAGCGCCGCCCTCTTCCTCCTTCCCCATTCTACTTTCAGTTCCTCTTTGGTCTCACTCTCATCTTTCTTGGTAATTCTTATTAGTCGTAAGATGATTATTATTGTTAGATCACTAATTACATTTATTTTACTTCTAAATCTATATTAGTTACTGATCAGTTGTTCGGTTTTTACACAATATTTGGGGAAAGATTACTTCTTCATAACAGAGACGGCAATTTTGCATGAAATAGAAAACATTAGCCGGATTGGGAAAATTCTTAAACCCCTCATTACCATGGTTGCTTTCCTATTAAACCTGATTCTCATGAAAAACATTTAAGAACCTGATTTTGAACAAAGTAGATTACTTTTCACTGTTTACTTTGAGAAAATTGAAGTAGAGATAGTTAAAAAAAAACTTCTATTGTCTTATTAAGAATCTAACTTGGACAACTCTGCAACGCGTGTATGGTTGCATGTGTAGAATAGGTTAACGTATATGCCAAGTGGAGGTAGACATTAGAAGCAAATTGGCTTTGGACCTGTATTTCAAAGAACACCGACCCCAATCTATCATTAGTTCATTATTGTGAGCTTTCATTTAGGAAAATTTCTACAAATGCTAGATTTTCTCTTTTAATTACAATTAAAATAATGATATGGTCTATGTCACAATATCTTCTATGAAGATACATAGACACCCATCTGGAATTTCATCTGTTACCTCCTTTTGTTCCCTTTCATCAGATAGTCAAGGGTTCCCAGAGAAATTTGGTAACCGTCTAAAATATTAGATACCAATAGATCAATTTTTCTCTTGAACCCTTCAATTACAGGTACCTTTCAAATTCTTTGATAATTACTTTTCTTTCCTTTTATCTGTTTCTGCCTCTATTTCGTCTAGGTTTATATTTATGTTTTTACCCTTTAGGTTTATTTATATTTTAATAAGATTGTAAATTATTGGGAAGGCAGAGTTGTAGCATGATAGATCGTGTAACTTGTAAGCATAAAAGAAATCTAGTAGTTGAATTGTTTTTCAGAGTTATTGTTTCATTAATTTTATTTGTCTTAGTAATTTCAAATACAAAAACATATAAAAGAAAATAGTTATTCTCTCGCTTATTTTTGTCTTTGTTATTTTTTCTTACTAAGAATTTTTCAATCATTCTCAATCACTGTGGAATGACTCTCAGAATGTTAAAGACTTCTAATTCTTTTTATAAGTCAAATTGATCTGTCTGATACTTAGGCGATAAAGAGAATTACAAAAAGGTGAAGATTTCTCATTCCGTATATTTTTGAAATGTAAGAAGTGAGGAATCACTTTAGATCTGACTCTCCGCCTCCCAGAATTGTGGAATGCATTATGTCAAATAATAAACTATTGTCAAATTTTTATGCTTAATGACATTGATTAGGTTGTTTCATTTTTTACACAGTCATGAGTATCCAAATCTTTATTAGAACAATTCAACTCATGCAATGATAATATTCACTGTATATTTGGGGAAAGACTGAAATATGAATCATCCACTTTTCCTGTAATATTATGTTCTTCAAGTTCGTTCATTCTTTAGGAAGATGATTATAAGGCATTTTGATTGTACATAGTGCTGCATTTAGGACATTTATGTACAAGATTTGACCAAATCCATAATCTTCTTAAGACTACTCATATCGTGGAGTTTCATATAATGTAAAGCACTGCATACTGAAACAGAAATAGCATACTTCATGGTGAATAATTTCATTAAATTTTGTAAACATTACCAGATCACCAAATTCTTAGCACAGATACAGTCAATTGTATTTGGTGAAAATAGTGCTTATTATTATTTTGTTATAAACCTTTATGATGTTGATTATAGTATAATTTCTTTTGAACTTGCAGAACAATAGTAACAATATGGCTCAAGATGGATCAACAGAACGAGCATGTCCGGGAGAAGACATAATAAGCGAGTTACCTGACATGTTGCGCCTTCACATTCTCACTTTGCTTCCCCGCAAAGCCGCGGTAAGAACTGGCGCACTGTCCACTAAGTGGAAGGATCTCTGGAAGGAGCGCTATTTTCACCCGACCGACCTCTCATTTGGACGAGCAACTGAGTCTGAAGAAGAACAAAGAGAATTAGCTCAAGAGATTCAAGCATACATGAAACATAATGGTAATAAAAGAATTGTGACATTTACTCTTAACTTCTATCCAGGTAGAAAGTACGAACAGATTGCTGCTGAATGGATCAAACAAGCTGCAAAAAATGGAGCGGAGGTGTTTCGCCTGGACTTCTCTCAAGCTGGTATGGGTAGTTATTCTCGCAAACAAGTAACGAGGAGGGCAAAAAAATTTGAGCTGAAAGAAAGTATGTTTAGATGCAATAATGCTCTTGACACCTTGAGCTTGAACTACTGCAGACTGCAACGATATTTTAAGTTCAGATACTTCAGTTGCCTAGAGACATTATGCCTCAGTCAAGTCAATGTCAACGATTTTATGCTTGAGAAACTGGTCTCAAACTGTCTGAATCTAGAATCCCTGGAATTGAGCCAATGCTTGTCTCTCAAGAACATTAGAATTCCTGCTACACTAGTCAGGCTCAAGAATCTCACAATAGTTTATTGCTGCTTGGCAAAAGAGATTAATATTTCAGCTCCAGCGCTTCAGACCTTCCATTTTTTTGGAAACTTTCCACATACCTTTCTTATGATCGACCATATGCCTTTGTTAAGCAATGTCATTGTTATGACGCCTACCAGAGATCAATGGGTGAACAGGATATTTTATGCATCAGTAGTCATATGGCTTGACCATGTTCAAGTGTTGACACTGTGCAATGTGGGGCTTTCGGTATGAATTTACTAACCTATTTGTGATATTTCACTTGGAAGTCAATATAAAACTTGATTGATGCTTGTTATGTATTTTCCCTCAGGTTATGTTTCAAATGAAGAATACTCCTACTTGGGTTACCTTGGGAAATCTTAGGGAGCTGCAGCTATTGATGTTCATGTTGATCGATTCTGATCTCAACAATATCTACATATTCTTCACACATTGCCAGTTCCCTCTTCTGGAGAGGCTGTTCATAGAGGTAGGCTGGTTATTAATGTTTTGTCTCAAGTTAATTCAAACAAGATATGGCATAAACATTTTTAATCTTCTCTATCTGCCCATTTCAAGACTAAATCCTGAAGAGAATTATAAAACATTCTTGAAATATTCTCATGACTTATGCATTCTCTGATGACTGATGAGTCCGTCATTCATAAACTATTCAAATCGCACGGTGCCTATTGTTCATTGATTTACGAAAATTTTCATGTACTTGTAGAATGTAGACTACTTTGAGCATTTCACCATTTACTGTTTCCTATTTCTATAATCAATGGTGCTTTTGGGGTTTTTCGGAATACTTTTCCATGTCAGGCAATATATGAGGTATTAGCCAACTTTATACTTCTCTTTAGCTTATAAACTACTTCTCTTAGTGGAAGGGATAGAATCATCCACCTTCCAATGGTTCTTTTCCAATTGAAGTTGACGAAGATAATCTGCAAAAAATTCAATTTCAACTACATAAAGCCAATAACCTACCAGGACTTATCTCAAAGAAAAATAATCCACTAGTTTTGCATATCTAATCCACATCTATTCGTTATTTGCAGCTACCACCTATATGCTTTGACTACTCTATGCCCAGTGATTTGATGAAGTTTGATGACCCACTCATGATCAGCTTCAACAGTCTCAAGGTGATAAAGATGGACAACTTCAAAGGGGTCCCGAAAGAGATGTTGCTGCTCGACTTCCTTTTACAGAGAGCTACTAACCTTGAATGTCTCATCTTGGTATTTCCTCCTGTATTCTACATGACTACCAATGAAATGAAAAAGAAACATATCTTTCATGAAATCATGTCAAAGCCAAAAGCGTCTGCAAGAGCTCAGGTAATTATGTGCTATACTTGCCATGACAACTATGGTTGCAAAGCTGCACATGCTAATAACATCCTGGATTTCAAGCATCTACAAGATGAGATATCCAAAAGTTGAGCTCAATTAATGTTCTAGTTGCATAGGTTCTAAAGAGTACTATGTGTAACATCTGTTTGTTGTGGTGAATGCCCCCTTATGCAAGTCGTAACAGAGAACATTAGTTGTTCTATTTTGGGTCATAATATAAACTTATAATGTTATATTACTCTGTTTAAGTCCATAAGGATGTTATTTTGTTGGATGTCTTTCCTTAGCTCCTTCATCTTTGCTGTGCTAATAGAATGTCATATGAAGACAGAGCTGGAGTTAGTTTCTCGTTTCACAGGCAAGCAGGATATAGGAACTAGTGTTCGTTCCACATAGTTACAAGTAGAGTGTCTAATTAAGTAAATTCAGTGTTTACATGTCAATGATGTGAAATACTATCATTGTTGCTAGTATCTCTGGCTTCTTGCTCTGAAAATTGAAAATTAGAATTGTAAGACGTGAAGGAAATGACTGTCAACCCACTTACAATTATGTTATAATAGATCATGCGGCTTGGTCCAAAAGATGTATGCTGCTCTATTTTATTGTTAGACCTCTCTAACAATTGGAAATTTATTCTATAGAAATAAATGGGGGGAAAACTAGCCAAATACTCTCTGCCATGATTCCATCTCTGCACTTTTGATGGGATGATCAACACCCCGGACACTGCGTATTGGGTGTTGTATCCATGCCGGACACGAATTCAACACGGACACACCATGAACACGTGTGGTTCAAAGTAAAACATGAGTTCCCCCATTACTTATAAACCTGAACGAGTTTCTTTGGTATAAATCAATAAATTTTTGAACCTGAAGACCAGAACCCATAACTTAAAGATTTGAAGGTTACAAATCGTATTTCATGCGATCAAAACTAAACTTTTGTTGTTATAGATACTAAAAGAAACCGTGCGCGCGCGCATTCTTTTTGCAATACTCTGGAGCTAGTTTATATTATGAGGTATCACTTAGTATACACACTATGTGGATAAACTGAAGTTGAAATCACAGAGAATAAGTGAGAGGATGAAAACATGCCAGATAGGATATAATGAAGTTATAATTCAACTATAAGGAATTAAGGATCAAGAGAAATGAAATAAAAGAGTATATAAATTGCAATCTTACGGATCTGTTACAGGAAACATACAACAGGATGCCCTACATCCTACTATCTGTGGGACTGTATACCTAGCACGGCATATGCTTTAGCTCCAGCTATTATCCTACAGAAAAAAGGAAGGAAATTGGAGAAAGAAAAAAAAGGTTGATAATTTTTTCTCCGTACCTTTGAGCACATAAATGAAACCACATCTACTCTATTAGATGCCCTGTTGATATATACCTGAGGATTAAAAATTTTGGTAAGTCATTTAAGGTAGGGATAAAATGGTAATGTCCAAATTAATGGAAAATATTATGAAGTAGGAAAAGAAACCGAGTTCTCCACCAAGAAATAAATTTAATTAATAAGCCAGAGAAAAAAGCAAAACAAAAAATATTTGATAAAATAGCGGGGGAGCATGATATTATGAAACATGCATATATTTGATTCTAGTAAGACTATACATTGAGCTTCAAACATTAATTTCAGAAATTATTACTAAAGGCCAATTTGCAACTGTGCTCATCCTTGCAGTGGCTAGAAATTTTCTTTGGAAGGATGTACTGCTACAGCTCTAGAGGTCCAAACAGGTTGTTAAGGATCATATATGATATTTACCATATTTGTAGTCATTTACTATCACATATATAATATAAGCAAAGAAATGGTTCAATAAGGTAAATGCATTACTGTGTCCAACAACAGATACGACTATGGATTAGATAGAATCCATGTATGACTTTAGTCACTAATGTAAGACCAAAATAATTTTAGTCGTTCTATCGACACAATTATCCAAATATTGGTATCCATGTGTGACTTATTTTTTATTTATATCTATATACTTGATCAACACCACTGACCCCCGACCCCCCCCCCCCCCCCCAAACCCCAAAAATAAATAAATAAATAAGGCATATCCATATTTGTCTGTGTCTCCCACCATATATGAATATCTAATTTCTATACCCTTATCTGTTTGGAGATTGACGCGAATATATCGGCGGATAACCGATATCTATTAGCACCCTAGTGCAATAAAAGCAATAGAAGAATTAACTATCACATGAAAGTTGAATTAAAAACTACTACTGAAAGCCTTGGAAACAAATTCAAACTTTATTTGTGTCTCAATGAACTTGATGTTGATCATTACCTTTACAATCTGTAAAAAACTCATCACAGACTTCTAGGGCACATACCTGATGGCGTGAGCTCACATTTATTAATGATCTTTTGGCAAGTTTAATGATATTTGGTGTTGACTTGGAAGCCCATAAGAGTTTGCCAACTGAAGTTGCACGGCAATTGCACAACAGTTGCGCCATACCTAAAAGAAATGTAATGTGAAGGAACACTCATAATTTCTTTCACATGTTCAAGGGGAGGGAAAGGCCTCAAGGAGCATTGCTCATTTGCTCCAAAACAAGGAGCATTGCTCATCAATTAACTGCAACACGTGCATAAAGATGAAAAATGCTGCTTCAAATTTCTCAGTTTCAATGCAGGCTATGAAATTCGACTTACAGAATAAATACCTACAGAAACATTCATCCAATCTCCTTTCTTTAACCATACAAGCAATTCTGAACATCATCTTGAGCCTAATTAAGCATGTTAATAAATAATTTAAAAAAAAAAGACCGCATGAGCAGTTTAAACAAAAAGCTCAGCATTTAATTTTACAATCGACGAAAGAATATGAAGTCCTTAGGGCCTCAAAAATTTTCTCGGCTTTGCCACTAAAGACTGATAATGTCACCACCTTTTCCATCAGAAGCTAATACATCTGTAATCTGAATCATTTGATGTTTACCGTCATTCCTATTAACCTTAACGATACCTTTGCTTCTATAAGACGATAGCCAAAGAATAACAGAACACAACGTTAAATTTCCTAATGCTTCTACTATAACAATCTCAGCGATCAATCAAGCTAATGGACAAAGCACCTCTGCAATAATGGGTGTGAGTAGTCCACGTACTTATCCCACAAAATCTTATACTTCTCCATCCCAATCTTGAGCCAAGGCTTCATGTTACCATTATAATGCAACACGGCACCTTCCTTAATTGCAGATTGCTCTACCTCCTTGTAACCCAATCCCAACACATGCCACTTAGCATCCAGCCTCTCTACCATTCCATAAAAGGCCAGCAATCCGGGAGGCAATGTTCCAAGCTTCCATAGTGTGTGATCCACATTCCTCTCCTGCCAATAATGATAATTTCCCGTCACATTCTTCTTCTTCCATTCCCTCAGATCAATCACATTCATCCCGAATGCCCACCCACAGTCATCGGGATCAAAATGGGCTTTAATCAAAGGATGAGAAAAGTTCAAGTACTTATGGAACCTGTGAAATGTCTCCATGCATGTCTCAACTGCTCCTATAACATTACCATTAAGATTGATCGAGAACAGCTCTGATAAATCTTTCTGAACTACAACGTCATCATCAAGAAACACCACCTTGTGCAGCGCAGGGAACACTTCTGGCATGTAGAACCTTAGGTGGTTTAACATTGACAAATACTTTGGGTTCCGGAACTTTATTGGAGTTTTACTATTTCCTTTGCCCGAGAAGTAGAAGCTCTGAGTATCAGATTCTTTAAGCTGCTTTAAAATGGGAACATAGGACGCATTAAGCCAAGTAAAATCTTCAAACTTCTGGACCTCAATGGTGGCATCTTGGAACTTGTTCATACTGAACCAGGCCCTCATTGGTGTGTAATTCACCTCATCAGTAACCACATGGAAAACAAGAAGATCTGGGTGCTTTGAATTAGTTACTGTGGAATTGACTACAACTGATGCAGCAAGAATGTTGTCAGAGAAGATACAGTAGTGATAGAGGTTATTGTTTCTAAGCTTCTCCGAAGAAGTTCTTGCTTCTACGGCTCTTCTATAACGATGCAGGTTCTTAAACCATTCCATCGTCAGTTTGATACCAAGGCAGTATAGGCTTTTTGGAAGTTCTTCAGCAGCTATTTGCCCAAATTTTGAGCTTTTATCTGTTTCTAATTTAGACTTCTCCTCAAGAGTTTGAAGTTGGCCTTTCATCTTTGTGATTGTAATTGCACCATCATAGTGGAGCTGCTGGGCTTGATAAAGCAGAAGAGCCATGCCTCGGATTGTTGCTTCTGATTCTTCTACGGATAATGGATATCCTCGGGTTGCAGCAGTGGCAAGGAGAGACTGGCAGTTTCTGACCTGTCCACCAAGTTCTCGTGCAAACTCAAGGTTGTTGTTTTCTTTGGATATTACTAGATAAGTCTTTGCAAGAGAAATCTGATCAAGGAGCTGCCTAGTGACCGATAGAGGGTTTAACAGTTCATCTGTAACATTCAAATCTCCTGGAAAACTGGAGGTGAAAGAATTCTGCAAAAGACAAGTTTGTTTTTGTTATGGTAAGAGGTTATGGTATTATTTATTCTATATTTATATAAACAAGGTAACAGAATCAGAGAATAAGAACAGAAAATTCACCAAGCAGAGAAAAGAAAAAAATTGGAC